ACACACCCCTAACGTAGCCAATCCTCCAAGAGCTTACAGAGCTCTTCTTACTGGGGCTACTGTAAGCTCTTGGAGGATTGGCTACACTCGGGGTGTGTGGCCTAATATGCAAAAGAGCTCCTGCTACCAGTAGAGCCATGGATGGCTGCCCAGTGTCAGGTGCCTCGTGCTTACTCCTGAGCAGGTCTTTTCTCCCAAGGACACTTTCCCCCTCAAGTAGGTCTTTTCTTCATTTGGAACTGGCCCTGGCTGGCCTTCCTCCTGCCTGCTCCTGCCATGCCCTCACCCATCTCCTGGGCATCTCCTTCTGCCTCATTACAGTGCTGCTGGCATCCTTAGGGTGGAGCCCATGCTCCCAGGGATGGAGTACCCGGGGATGTGACACAATCCCATTTTGAAACAAACACAGGAGAATTAACCTGTCCTTAATTGTACCACCAAGTTTAGTTTTATATTGCCTTGTCTCTTTGCTTAACCACCAAGTAGTGGTGGACAGATATATCACACCAATACCCTCCTGAGAGAACTACGGCTCCTTACATAATCTGGAAATAAGTCATTTTAAGAAGCTTCAATTCATACTAATCATATTCTCTGAATGTCACTTTCAGCCAACTTACTTATCAGAGAAAAGTTGAAAAAAATATTTTATGAATCTCCAGCACCACTACTCCCCACCCCTGACAAAAGTAACCCCCCCAAAATGTGAGCCTCACTGAAACACCAATTTCCTTCCTTCCTTCCTTCCTTCCTTCCTTCCTTCCTTCCTTCCTTCCTTCCTTCCTTCCTTCCTTCCTTCCTTCCTTGTATCAATCCATACCAAGTATGACTAGTATCAATCCATCCCAAGTAGGAGTAAAAGGAAGAAAGGAAGAATTTAAGCCAGAGTGCGCCTTGGTGTTTAGTCATGCTGGCCACATGACCACGGAAATGTCTTCGGACAGTGCTGGCTCTTCGGCTATGAAACGGAGATGAGCACTGCAACCCTAGAGTCGGATTCGACTGGCAATAAATCTTATCTATCTTTCTATCTTTCTATCTTTCTATCTATCTATCTACCAACCTATCTACCTACCTATCTATCTACCTATCTACCTACCTACCTACCTACCAACCATATTAGGGAAGATGTCTTGTCACAAGCTGCCCTAATTCTTGTGGCCTGAACAAGAAAAGCAGCTAAGAAAACAATATTTGCTGGCCTAGAATCCATTAAAAAATTAACTAAAATGTTTAGGGGATGCTCGTTTCACTGGCACGTAAGTTGCTTGATCCATTTCTTTCTAGCCTCCTTATATCACGGACATTTGAACAGACCACGCTTCAACTTACACCCATTATCTGCTTTACATCTTCACACCCCACCCAGATAAACATGGAAGCGTTTTTGTGTCTCAAAAGAGTATAGACAGTAAGCACAGAAATAAGCAGTGGCGACATATTACACGCTTCTAACTACAGTTTAGTTTGGAACAGGTCTTGTCGTTTTCCAGTAGTTCTCTCCGAAAACCACTGTTTTTTTCTCCCAGTGGAGTGGATGATGAGATTCTAATTGCCCGATTGTGCTCAGAACAACAGTAAATACCAGGCTTGACATGACAAGCAGTCCCAGCAAACGAAACAGAGAACCCAGCTGTAAGGTATTACAGGGAGTTCAGTTCAGCCCTTGTTGAAAAGAACTTGAGTTACAGCCTGGTTTTACTTAACAGAATACAGATGCATGTTTAGTAAATCCAGCTGTGGTTTACCCGACCAAGGCAGTGGGTTTTTAAAGGTAGTTAGATTGACAAGAGAATGCAAAAGTCAGTACTGGGATACAATCCCAAAAATGACAGAATGGTTTCGGTCCGAATCCAAGGCAAACCGTTCAACATCACAGTAATCCAAGTCTATGCCCCAACCACTGATGCAGAAGAGGCTGAAGTGGACCGATTCTATGAAGACCTACAACACCACATAGAACTAACACCGAAAAATGATGTCCTCGTCATCATAGGGGACTGGAATGATAAAGTAGGAAGTCAAAAGGTAACCAGAATAACAGACAAGTTTGGCCTTGGAGAACAAAGTGAAACAGGGAAAAGGTTAACAAAGTTTTGTCAAGAGAACACACTGGTCATAGCGAACACCCTTTTCCAACAACCTAAGAGGCGACTCTACATGTGGACATCACCAGATGGGATTTCTTAAAAACTAATAAACTCTGCCCACTTCACGTTCCTGGGATCCCAGATCACTGCAGACTGTGACAGCAGCCATGAAATTAAAAGACGCCTGCTCCTTGGGAGGAAAGCGATGGCGAACCTAAACAGCATGATAAAAAGTAGAGACATCACCCTGCCAACAAAAGTCTGCATGGTCAAAGCAATGGTATTCCCAGTAGTCATGTATGGCTGCGAGAGTTGGACTATAAGGAAGGCCGAGCGCCGAAGAATAGATTCTTTTGAACTATGGTGCTGGAGAAGACTCTTGAGAGTCCCTTGGACTGCAAGAAGATCAGATCAGTCAATCCTGAAAGAAATCAACCGTGACTGTTCCCTGGAAGGCCAGATAATGAAACTGAAGCTCAAATACTTTGGCCACCAAATGAGAAGGGAGTCACTGGAGAAGACCCTGATGCTGGGAAAGATTGAAGGTCAAAAAAGATGGGGACAGCAAAGGATGAGATGGTTAGACAGTGTCATAGATGCAACGAACATGAAATTGAGCAAACTTCAGAGGACGGCGGAAGACAGGAAGGCCTGGCGTGATCTGGTCCATGGGGTCGCAAAGAGTCGGACTTGACTGCGACTGAACAACAAAGATTGACCCTGGATGCTGTTAAAATACAGTCTTTTAAAATGTAGTTTAAAACTTGTTATTTGCAAGGTACAAAACATTAGGTTGGATTCAGCCAGCTGCTCTGCTGAGAGAAAGGGAGGAGAGTCTCCTTTTTGGCCACCAAAAAGCCTATGCTTTTCAAAGGAAATACTAATATGTACTCAGTAAAACTAGAAGTAATGCACAACACAAAGGGTTGTTATTTGCACAAGAAGACGGACCCACTTTAATATCCTTGTAACGTCCCACAGTTTCATTCTTCGACACGGCGTGTTTACTTTGCCGTTTGGTTATCACTATTTTAAAGAGGTCCCTGCAGAGGTATCTGGCTTATATGGGGAATCCTTGGCCTGAATTTCGGAAAGGAATCACTTTGCAAGGCAGCGTCTTGTCCTGCTGCTACCCTCTCCCTCCCACACACCCGTGGCCTTTATTGAATTACATATGTTTACTCCAGCATGGTTTTTTTCCCTAACAAGGAAATGAGGCTTCTTAAGGACAATAGTTTTTCAAAAGAACCTCAACTCAACAGTGAGAGGTTCGACATTTGTGGGGATCACTTTAAATGGCAGTGGGGGAGTAGGGTAATGAGAAGAAGAAGAAGAAGAGATTGGATTTATACCCCGCCCTTCACTTGGAGACTCAGAGCGGCTTAGAAACTCCTTCCCCTTCCCCTCCCCACAACAGACACCCTGTGAGGTGGGTGGGGCTGAGAGAGCTCTGACACAAACTGCTCTTTTTCAAGGACAGCTGACCCAAGGTCACATCAGCAGGTGCAAGTGGAGGAGTGGGGAATCAAACCCGGTTCTCCCAGATTAGAGTCCACACACTTAACCACTACACCAAACGGGAAGTTCCCCCATTCGAACCCCGTGTCAGCTGCAAGCTAACTCTGGCACGCCTTGGCCTCCCCGTGCAGAACAAACGTGACAGTGCTAGCATCTTCTGTAAGGAGCTGACAAAGGTGAAGCACCTGGAACTTTGGAAATCACTTGGAACTCTTCAGCTGAGTGATATCAATGCCAAGCGTTACTCTAATGACTGCATCTCAATTTACGCAATTCCATTTTCGTTCATATGAGTGATGGGTCAGTTACCATTCCCCCCTCCCATTTCAGTTATCTGTGTGACCGTGAAAGGTGTCGAAAAACATGTGAAAGGCTTTGGGGTCCTGGTCTATTCCCAGTTACCTCGCTAATTTAAAATTGGAGGTCGGGAAGGAGACCCGTCCACCACTAACCAATCTATACCCATGTCTGCACTGAAATATCTTCTTCAATGCACGGCGTTCCTTTTATAGTTTGCAGAATAAAATAATTCCATTTGTAAACAAATCAAAGGGGGGGGGAGGACGTGTGGGGCTCTTTTTGTAGCAGGGACTCCTTTGCATATTAGGCAACACACCCCGAATGTAGCCAATCCTCCAAGAGCTTACAGAGCTCTTCTTACAGGGGCTACTGTAAGCTCTTGGGGGATTGGCTACATTAGGGGTGTGTCGCTTAATATGCAAAGGAGTCCCTGCTACAAAAAGAGCCCGGATGCCTAAAGAGACTTTTAAAAAGGTATTATGACGTAGGGAGGCCCTCCAGGTGGAACTTGGGGGTCCTCTGGAATTACAGTTCATGTCCCGGCTACCGAGATCAGTTCCCCTGGAGAAAATGGATGCTTTGGAGGGTGGACTCCGTGGTGTTCTACGCCATGGAAGTCCCTGCCCTCCCGAGGTTCGACCCCCAAATCTCCAGGCGTTTCTTACACTGGATCTGGCAACCCTATATCCTTGTCTTAAAAAAAGTAATTCAGGCACTCACCAATTGGAAGAACCCAATTGCATTAGAGTTTATAAAAATTTTGGCACTGAGGACATTAAGGACAGGTTCCCCCCCCCTCCCAATTGCAGTTTCTATTATGTCAGCTCAGCATTAAATAGAATCTGCATTTATCATCAGTGGACCGCAGCTTTTCATGAAATTTTCCCTTCATGGCTTCTTTTTCTTTTTGAAAACTTCTTGGTGTTATGTTTAAATATTGTTACATCTCAGCTTGCATTGCTTCTAATTCAGGACAATACATTTTAAGTGCAAAGCTAAAAGATTTGGTGCAGTTAATGACAACATAACTTTTACTAAACACGGTGCGGGGAGGAGGGGAGTCAGGCTTTTAAATAGCCACTTTGGGCTTACCTTGTCGTTTCTTTTTCGGAACGAAGTGTCCCTTTTGTCTGAAAAGGCCTGCATCCTGAAGAGATTGCTTGATTTATCTTTCCTCAAGTAGCCACCTACTCTCAGGAGGTTACGAGGAATCTCATCCCGATGCATTAGACGGCTGAGTTTAGACATCTTCAGCTTCTCTACCAAAGAGCCAAGAAGCTGCTGTACTCCCAGGACTACTTGTTCTAGCCCATCTAACTTTTCCGCTTGCTGTTCGGCATTCTTGGTCATACCTTCCAGTTTATTGTTAATTTCTGCGCACAACATCTTCACGTCGAAACTGCTTGGATTTTTGGATGTTGTAAAGGATGGTCCAGAGCCTCTTCTTTCCCCCTTCAGCTTCTCAATCTCCTTGTCCATGCAGGAGATTTCCTGAGAGACGCAGTCCAGCTTCTGGAGAACACAGTCTTGCACAGTCAGGATCTTGTCTATTTTCTGATCCAAGGAAACAAACTTCATATCCGACCCGCTCATATGTTCAAGGCAGCCAATATTGTTGTCTGTGGAATGGGCAGCTTGTAAGGTCTCTTCTTCTGTAAAAGGGTGCTGATTTTGTAAAGCATTCGGATCAAATATCTTGGCCAACGAGTTGACCACCGACAGAGTCTTTTTGCTGGAGGTAGTCATGATGCCAGTTTACCTAGACACACAGCTGCCAGACGAAAAGAATGTCTTCAGAAGTTTATTCGCTTCAGTTTCCTCAGGCATGGCAGCAAATTGTTCCGTAAGTTAGAGAGATGTAAGCAAGAAGTAGCCAGGAAAGAAAACCAACAACTTCCTTCTTGTTGACAAAGCATGTAGAAAATAAAGCGAAGGTCCAGGCAGACATGTGTTGAGCATCTTAAATGCACTCGCAGTTGGTGACATCGGGCCTCTAGGGAGGGTAGAACTATTTGCACCCAAGTGGAATTTGACAGCAGAAAGGCTACGGGACATTCGAGAACCGCCTGGAGCCAGAGATGTTTTGGCAGCAGCATTGCTGATTGTCAGAAATATGCCTCTGGTATCCAAGTGGATCCTTCGTCTGAATAAACTAAGAACCCATAAAGGGGAAGCTAATTTTGGGTGCCTGGGAGTCTTAGCACTTCATGCAAACTGTTCAGATTAAATTCAGGTGGGGTAGCCGCGTTGGTCTGAAGCAACAGAACAAAGTTTGAGTCCAGTGGCACCTTTAAGATCAACAAAGTTGGATCCAGGGCATAATAAAACTTTGTTGGTCTTAAAGGTACCACTGGACTCAGACGTTGTTCAGATTAAAGTGCCAGTTCCTTCATGAAACGTCTTTGCTGTCCCCCCCCCCCAAAGCATGTAGCGTGTCAGTTATTAATAACATTTAAAAATCTATAGCTTACAGATATGCTATGCCTTTTCTTTTTTGTATCATAGTTTTTATGTAGGATATAACCATCAACAATTAACCATAAGTCATCAGATAATACCCTCTATTATTCAACAATAAAAATACTTTCATCATTCCCCCCCCGTTATATCCCCCTCCCATTCCCCTCCCCTATATATGGCTTCCCACAGTGCTTCGACCTCCTGCGTTCTTAGTCCCAGTTCAATGTTGTTTTTCAAACTTCTTATATTTCATTAGGCAACTCTTATGTCTACTCCCTCTATCTTCATTTTCAATACTCTCTATAAAGGTTCTATTTTTAATCATGATCAAAACTAATTAATGTATCTTTTACATCTCCATATTTTTCCAAGTAGTCTTTTAGATCTTTCCTCTGCGTCTCTATTGTTCAATTTCCTTGTCATTTTGTCCATCTCAACTGCAAATAACAATTTCTTAATCCAGTCGTCAGTTCCCGGTATAGCTTCGGATATGCTATGCCTTTTCTGAATCTCTGCTTTATGACTAACTACCACCACCGATTGGAACAGTAAGAAGAAAAAAAGTTTTGTTTTATATCTGCTGTTCCTTTCCAGGATCCTGGCTCAGAATAACAGCTGCGCAAAACAATCACTTCGAACCAATACCAAACGTTATGAAATAATCTAACAACCATATAATTTCATCAGTCAAAATAATCTGCTGTAAAAACTGATGGTTTGGCTCCTTGCTGCTCGTAATTCATAGTCTTGTACAGCAACGGCATCAATTAGAAATGGAGGAACTTTGTAAACACACGTGTATTGTTTGCAGCAGATGGTTGATTTTTTTTTTAAAAAAGAGGCTATTATTCTCCCTACATTGTTTATAGCTGCTACATATAAAATAGCTATTAAAATATTTTGTTGCCATGTAAACCATGGAGCATGTAGAGAAACTTAGAAACTGGCTTGGCTAGGCTCTGATTCAAGCCACTGACATGCGCATAACTCTCCTGTCACTGGGGTGAATGCGAAAGCCCAAGTGTATTTTGGAATGAGAAGACAGTATGAACAGAGAGGCAGCCATGCAGACAATCCTGAGACTGACCTTGAATTAAATGGAGAACCCGCCACATGTGCAGGACTTCAATATGTATAATGGAGCACCCTCTCACACACATGTTCAGCAACATGAACGGAATCTGAGGAAGCGGATGATTTGGTTTTTTTGCACACCTGTCTCCCACGAAGGGCTCAAAGTAGCTAACAACAAGAGCTAGATGTCCCGGGTCAGAGCAGACTCAGCCAAGACCAAGGGGACCAGACAGAATCACTAACCAGAAGCATAAGTCAAGAATTCCGTCCAAGAATCATACACAAGGGAAGCCAGCCGAGGGTCTGAGAAACAGAGTTCAAGCAGGTCCGAGAGGTGTCATCAAGCAGGTACGGGGTCAAAGCCAAAGGTTCAGGAGTAGCATCCAGAAACAGGTCCAAGAGGGATGGTTGTGTGTCTCCAAGAAGGCAGGGCCGGATTCAGACTTGCTGAGGCCCTAAGCTATACAAAACCCAGAGGCCCCCTACCGCTTCAAATTACATCAGCTGGTCTCAGAAAAATATAAAATATATACGCCTTTTTAATATTTGAAATCATTTTTTTTATTGTGTTTTTATTTGAGGCCCCAGCAGATTGCGAGGCCCTAAGCTGTAGCTTATTTAGCTTATGCGTAAATCCGGCACTGCAAGAAGGTGACGAGTTGCTCCCACGCCTTCCCCCTCTGAAACGCCGTCCTTTATCGGCAGCTCAGTTAGGTCTCGTTGCTTGTGAGAGCGCTGTCCATTAACTCCACACGTTCTGTCAGCTAGCTGCCGTATCTGTGTAGTCTACCCTTCCCTCTTCCCGCCTTGCTTGCAGCTCAGCAGCTTGCCGTAAACATGCCAGGGAGACCGTGGGAGCTAGACGCCATTATCAGTCTGGCCTTATGCATTAGGGAGGGCTTGGGGTCCACATTTGGTGTGAATTTTTCTTCTCTCGGGAAACCATGGGACTCTCCCGCTCATTATGTAATCACCCGCCGGGAGTCTTCCCGCCCGCGCGCGCTCGAAGTTCATTTGCTTAGCTAATCGCCTTGCCCAGCTATATGTATTGGGATGTTCCCGCCTTCTAGTTATTCCTAACAATAATCCTGTGGACATGGCAAAGGTCATTTCGGGGGGATCGCGGGGGAACACAGTTCCTCCGGGTGAGGTACGGGGGGCAGGGCACATGATGAAGCCCCGCCCCCTGCTTCCGGCCACCCCACTTCTGGCCCTCATTCAGCCAGGAGGAGGCAGGAGAAGAGGGAGGGTAAGTTGCTTCCTCCCTGCCTCTCCCTACACCTGCCTGCCTGGGGCCAGGGATGGCCTTTGCGGGGCTTCCTTGCACTCCCGCCGGCCTTGCAGGTCCACCGCCGGGCCCCTCATGGTGCTCGGCAGTGGAGCTGCAAGGCCGGCGGCGGCTGGGACCATTGGGGGCGGTGTGTGCGGCCTTATGACACACTTCTGGTGATGTCAGGGGGTGTGGCCTTATGACACACGTCCGGTGATGTCAGGGTGTGTGGCATATGCTAATGAGTTCCCCCAGCTCTTTTTCTACGAAACGACCCCTGGGACATGGTACCAGTCTTGTACACTAATAAAACATAACGCTTCTTGAGAAACGTGTGTGAAGAGTTACTTGCTGTGGAACCTGACATGTTCCTCTTGATCTGGCAGCCGCCGGGCAGCAAGACGTGCGCTCTGCCTCCTCTCGACTGACTGCCCACTCTTAATTGGATGACTCTTTGAAGTTTGTCTTTCACAATTTCCCACAAAGAAGCTGGTGTAGTGAAACTGGCATTATAGCTAGCCTGTTGGGAGTCGTGTTTGGGGACTTTACGGAAGCAGAGAACGGAAGATAAGTTGCCTGACAACCTCCACCGCTTCCAGTTTTCAACAAGGTCAAATCACAACAAAGATACTTGATGACTGGAATACATGGCATTCACCTGTTGAATGAATGAATGAATGAATGTGACTGGATCAGTTGTTTATAAGAGGACAATAAAAGACTGCTGAATTTTTGGAATACTGTGTGCAATTCTGGGCACCACACCTTAAAAAGGATATTACAGCTTTGGAAAAAGTGCAGAAAAGGGCAACTCGAATGATAAAGGGGTTGGAACACTTTCCCTATGAGGAAAGGTTAAGGCGCTTAGGGCTCTTTAGCTTGGAGAAACGACGACTGAGGGGTGACATGATTGAGGTTTATAAGATTATGCATGGGAAAGAGCAGGTAGAGAAAGAGGTACTTTTCTCCCTTTCTCACAATACAAGAACTCGTGGGCACTCCATGAAATTGCTGAGCGGTCGGGTTAGAACGGATAAAAGAAAGTACTTCTTCACCCAAAGAGTGATTAACACATGGAATTCACTGCCACAGGAAGTGGTGGCGGCTACAAGCATGGACGGCTTCAAAAGGGAATTAGATAAGCTTATGGAGCAGAGGTCCATCAGTGGCTATTAGCCACAAGGTATAGATAGGGACTCTGGGGCAAGTGATGCTCTGTCTTCTTGGTGCTTTGGGGGGTCAACAGTGGGAGGGCTTCTAATGTCCTGGCCCCACTGGTGGACCTCCTGATGGCACCTGGTATTTCTGGCCACTGTGTGATACAGAGTGTTGGACTGGATGGGCCTTTGGCCTGATCCACCATTGGCATCTCTTATGTTCTTATGTTCTTTGGTACATAGAAAACGAGATACTAGTTGTAATACAAATTTAATTGTTCATACAAATTGTAATTTTCGTCACTCTTCACAGTGTTCATACTTCATTTAGACAACCTGTCCCATGATCTCTCTACTTTTGTAATCTCCAGGTGGTGGCTGGAGATCTCTTGGGATCACAGGTGATCTCCAGGTGACAGAGACCAGTCCACCTGGAGACAATGGCCACCTTGGAAGGAAAACTCCATGGCATTAGACCCCGTTGAAGCCCCCTCCCCTCCCCAAACCCGACCCTTCTTAGGCTCCACCTCTAAAATCTCCAGGTATTTCCCAATCTGGAGCTGGAAACCCTGTTTCCAGGCCATGTTGCCAGTATGGCTTCTAGTTCTGAAGGAAATGCTTGTGTGGGTATGTCATGATCTGGCCTGTGCCAGCACGGCCTAGCCGGCCTAAGAGGCCTGGCTGGCAGTAGGAGGCAGCTAGGCCTACAACTCCCAGAGGGCATTGGGAGAATCAGAGAGGCAGCTTCTGGGAGGAGACTGTTGAATTGGGTGAGGAGAGTCGGTTAGCCATTAACTGAGGAGAAACAGGGTGTTCTTCGGGTCTCTCTCTGCGGCCTGGTCCCACTGTGGGGACAGGCTGGTCTGGGAGAGAGGGAGCTACACTGGGCTCAGCGTGAGTGCTAGGCAGGCTGGGGGCCTGGAAGTAGAGACAGGTAGCTGCGTTAGTTTATGTTTATTTGTCCTTTCACACTGTTATTCCCTT